TAATCAAAGACTGACAAAAGAGACCATTAACAGCTATTAACCTGGATAATCTGCCATTCAATCAACAGGTCTACAAAATAGCATTTTTTTTCTCAGATGAATCAGATATAAGGTTGTTACTTTAATGTAAGTAAGTAAAGCATGAATAATTGAGAAAGGACTTTGCAAAGTGTGTGTTTTACTTGCTTTATTTTCACCAAAGCACCAGAAAGAAGGACAGCAACTCACAGAATTTGCAGATGTACTGGAACACTGAAAGCATGCCAGAGGGGAAGACTGGAAGAGCTGAGGTCAAAGTTTCCATTAACTGGCTACACAGAACATAGCAGCTGCATTCAGAAACATCAGCTGCACAAATGTCCACTAGGAGGACTTGAAAAATTATTTTAACAAGAGATTGCACTAATTCATTTTTTCTCAAAGTAATCTCACAAGCTCAGCATCCTTTCTGAAATTGTTGCTGGTTTGCATTTCCCATTATTACCTGCCTAACGATAGATATTTTTTTATTTTGGCTATGATGTCTTTGACTGTTGCAGGCCAAGTGTCATCATGAACTTTGTAGCTCCTAAAGGCTATTTTCCAATCTGCTGTTGCTGCTTGAAGATCTTGCTACTTCTTCAATGTGACCATTTGTTGCCACCTTCTCTGAACCTGTTTTTAGTATGTGATGGAAGAACACCATTATGTGGAGCAGTCAGTGTGTAAGCAACAATTTTAGATATTTGCTCTCTTTTTTATATCAAATAGTACTACCCTTATATTACTAATACCTGGCACCAGAGGAGCAGACCAAATTGACTGTATAACATGGCTAATAAATAATTGCAGAGAAATCCCAATGTCTTGTGCAGCATTCAGATGTACCTGTAGAAGAGTGTAAGTATGTAAATACACTTGGGGGCTCTTAGATTTTGCACTTCTAAGCAGAGACTGAAATATAGGACAAAAACAATAAATAGAAAGTCTTTGCTTCTCAAGTCTATAGAGTATGTGTATCTAAGGTAAGTGGAGTACAGTGCTGTAATCAGAAATGAGATAATCAGTAGCTTTAGTTGAAAATACTACTTCTGATTTGATGGTATCATCCTCAGATAGATTACTCAGCAGCAAACAATATAATGCACATTTCCAGTTCACATCATCCAAGAATATAATTACCAAATACTTCAAAAGATAACTTGGGTACAGAGTTAGGCAGGCTGAAAAAAGAAACTAGAGGAAATACTTGCCTTGAGTGTCAAAGCCAACTGCACTGCAACTAGTGTCTTGTCAGGAGCTTTTTGACATGATTTTTTTCATTAAAAAACAAATTGGAAACTGCTTTCAGGAAAAGATCAGTTTCAAAAAGTCCTTGACCGGAAATGCCAGGAAAAAATTTCAAACATTTGCAGTGTGCCACTTTGACATTTTCAAAATGAAAACTTTTGTTCTTGAATGGAAACAATTTTTGTTTTGAACAATTAAAGTTACATAAATTCAAAATGACAATAATTTGTCAAAATAAAATGTTCCAACAAATATAAGTAGTGGGTCTGTTAATTCACTTCTTAAAAGATTTTAATGTTTCCTTTTGTAAAATATTTCAGTTTTTTGTTTTACTTCAGTGAAAATTGTAAACATCTTTTAAGAGTAATTCTCCTGTGATAAAAAATCTGTTTTATATCCAGTTGCAATGTTTAATACAGAAGTAGAGACAAGGCACAAAGAAAGTTTTAGGACTGCTGTGAATTATAATGATATGTTATGTCCCCTAGCAGCTATTGAAGAACTCTGTGAGAATTTGTAGTCTTTGTGCCTCAAGGCATAGTATTTAGCCTGTATCTTGCCTGCATGGAAATAGGTTTAAATTTCATTGCAACCACTTTGCAAGTCCTGCTAGGCAAATATCTTTGAAGATCACAGATTACCGAAGTAATTTTAGAAGATAAAAAATATAAAAAAATAAGTCAAAGCAGCCAAAAATTCACTCCCACACATACAACAAAAGGGAGAGAGAAGCTGAGTAAAGAATTTTCATAAATGAATTAAGTTGAGAATAAGGACACAATTTTCATCTGAACTCAAATCAATAAGCTCAATCTTTGTCTGTCGTATTCAACTCCTCTGAAATCAGCAGTTATACCAGTGCTGAATGTAGTTCAATATGCTTTATAATCTAAGACATCAATATCTATAGTATGTCTGAAGAAAAGGAAGAAATAAAAAGAAATCAGATGGAATGTTTTCTGCAGAAGTCAGCCCTCCGGGGGCTTTCTCAAGCTCGTAATTGCAATGGTGCACAGTACGTATTACCTAGCTTAAGCAATCAGGTAAAATCTAAAGTACTGTAGTGATATATGGACTGCAGCGTGAGACAGAATTTTCTTTCTCATTTTCAGGTCGATATTTTCTCGCCCCTGTTTGTTAACAGACCAGGTTTTATTTCTGTTATATTATTTGCGCGATGTTTTCTAGCGCATAGAACACTTCTTAGCAACACTGAAGACATTGCCATTGCTGGCATGGAGTAGTGCACATACAGTAACGTATCATTAAATGAGGGATCTCAACTGAAAAATACCTCTCCTTTCTTAAGTGACTAAGATATACGAAACAAAGATAAAAAAGAAGGATCACTGTACATTATGGCTTCTGATAGTAATTTTCCTGACAACACTTGCCAGTGTGAGTTCTTTGGTGGGCTCACTATGAGCAAATTAAAATATTTTTTTTTCCCACTGACCTCCTTCCACAAGATGTAAGTCTGATTTTTACAGTCTGTTGTACTGTGAATTGTTTCTTTTTTTTTTTCTTGATGGCATTAAAATTAAAGTAAAAAAGGTAAAAAAAAAAAAAAAAGCATTTGTATGTTGGCATTTGCTTAGTAAGTAATAAACCAGTATTGTTAAAGAAAGCCCAGAATGGATGGCTCAAAGAAGGCCTCTGGAGTATGGAACATACTAATTATCGCTACTGAAATAAAATTACAGTGAGGTGAAGACAAAACATCTGTGTAGCAAATATTGTAATACCTTGAAGACAGCAATTTACAAAACTCAGTCACTTTTAACATCTTAAGGACTCAGAGAAATATCCACAGTGTATAAACTGAAGACAGGTATTGTGATAATGCCTTTTGCAGGAAGAAATTAAACTTGAGAGCTGGAATTAGAGCTCAGGATTCTGTTCCTATGTTCATCAAAATTTCTGGTGCAGAACCTTAGCTCTCCCACCTTCCTTTCCTGTGGGGGCTGGGAAATGGTCAATGGTCCCCAGCCATTGGCAGTGTGTGGGTAACAACATAGAGGGCGTAATGCACAACAGGAACTTCAGACTCTCCTTATCAGTCTGTTTTTCGTTTTAACTTGTTATAACTGTGAGAAATGTTGGTGGGCCTTCTGAATGTCATGTTGGTCACAAGCCATGTACTGAGATCCACTAGTTAAGCAACTTTGTAAGGGCCTTTTCTAGCCTTGTCTAAGACCTCAGCAAACTATAACTGCATAAAACAGAAAATCATCCGAGGACCTGGTCAATAATGAAATGCTATCTGCTCTAGAGAGTCAGAACACAAGTTACAAGAAACAGTATTACAAGACTCTGATCTTTTCAAGTATTTCACTTTCATTGTGTTAACCACAAAGGTGTGTTTTCTGTTGCCATTGAGCAGCCACCAGGACCTCTAGTGCACTCTAGCAAGCAGCCATGGACCTTTATCCCTACAAAGGCTTTCCAAAAGGGAATGCATGGGAACACTCGCACAGCACTTCCCAGAGTAGCAAAACCTGGCAATTAAACCAAAACTAAGACAAGGGGGTAACACTTAATTCACAGAATAGACTTATCTATAAGCATAGCACATGAGCAAAGGGTAAGATCCCTGAAAACAAAAGGGACGTTCTCTGCCTTAGAAAAAAAAGGCCAATACCAATAAAGGATTAACGAGCTTCTGAAACTTATTTTCAAACAGCTGTGAAATAGCCCACATCTCCAACGGAAGGTAAACACCCTGTAGGCGACAACAGGGTCTGAAACAATTGTTCAGATGTAATTCCTCTGTCCCCACCACACACCTGGACAAACAGGGATGTAAGAGGAGAACCTGCAGCTATTTTTCCCATTCATCCTGCTTCCCAGCTCCACATCACCTTTCATACTGTCTATACCTTCTCATCAGAGCTTCCTCATTCCCCTCTCTGCCAATGATCCTTCTCTGCACAGCTACAGGAAAGCTTGTGCCAAGCCAGCCTCTCCTTTTCCCCCTTGTACTCCTCCTGTTTTCTGTTTGAGAATATTTTTTGCTCAGCCTTCTATATTTTGATCTCATCTCCTTCCAGAAAAAGACTCTGATCTAATATCCCCCTCAGTGACAGAGAATATGTGACACTATGGCAAATGCTGAGTACTGTGTTTTGAGTACACATGGAACAAAGCAAAAAAAAAAAAAAACAACCCCCAAAAACAACCCTACCCAAAAAATTGCTAAAGCCTTAAAAAAGGTTTGGGATAAACCTACCACACTGGACAATATGCCTCTCAAGAGCTCTTTATTTTAATATACCCACTTTTGTAACATGAGCCAAATACAATACCTCATGTACACCACACTTGAGAGTGAACTGGTGCTATAAGAGAAATATGCCTATATTTGTACTATACTTGACCGCTTGCATTATCCTGGTGACTTGAGAAAAGCAGCCTATCCATGCCTTGACATTTTTTAAAGTTGTTGTACTTTTACCTGCCCCAATAACTCTCTCAATACGAATTCTTGAAGGGTCTATCTCCTTTGCAAACTCATGGACAGCAAGAGATGGATCTTCATATGTGTCTGGATCAATATATGTTTTGATTCCCGGGAAACGTACTGCAAAAAAGAGAGAATACAAGGAATCAAGCATTCTTTGACATTCACGCATTGTAGCAACAAGGTTTTTCTCTTCTTTTTTTCTTTTTGATAAGACAGTTAAAAGGATTGGAAATAATATATTAAGCCTTCCACATTTAAAGTTCCAGAACCCAACAGAAGAGGATAACGACCCAAAATTACTAATGTTTGCTACTGATTTCATGTAAACCAACTGTGGAATGCACATGAGTTATTCCCACTTGCTGGCAGCACCAGGGCCTTCAAAGATTGACTGGGCACAGATTTAAGCATCTCATCTTATCCTTCGAGTTGCTTTTTAGGTGAGGCTTCTGAGACACGTTACAACTCCGTAAACAGAGGATAAGTCTCTGTGCCAACCCAACACTAGCAAGAGCATTCAAAAGTACTGGCTGAAACTTTGAGCAAGGTCCTGCTGGACCCTGATCAAATCTTGTGAGATGTCCTGGGTGACTGAAAGCGTGGATACTTCTTCAGGATTGCTGCAGTGCTTTGTTACATCAAACAACCTTTCAGCTTGCAATGATAACTGATAAACAGTGAGTGTAAAGAACGGAGGAAATGCGGGTATTAGGTTCTCTGAATGTTGTTTATACCTCTAGTTACTGTCATGTTTGCTAGCTACACAGGTCCCAGATTTTATCCTGTCCCACAGGAACAAAAAGTCAAAAAGTCAAAAACCTTTAGAAAACTCAGTCTTTGGTATTCAACTGATAAGAGAGTGTCAAACTCTTACGCTGTTTTGTTTGTCACAGCTGAACACAAGCATGTCCTGAGGTATAACATTTCAGACAGGAAAATTCAGGGGACAATAATTTTTTGGAAACTTCTTAGGAAAAAATAAAAGCCCTAGCTAAGTTTGAAGGAAAATGGTATTTTGGGTAAGATAAAGTAGATTCAATTTTCTTTTTTTCATTGCAAGCATTTCCTTTCCAAATGCTATTTAGTATTTTAGTCTGAAGAGGCTCCTTGGTCTCTACACTTAGCTCACATCCTTAAGGAATACTTCATGTACAGCTGGTAAATCTGCAAAATGCAGCAAGTCATGAGAGAATACGTGAGCTCTGAGCTGGTCACTTGAAAGGGTGTTTATAGAGACACCAAGTGAGGACTCAAAGATACAGGGGAAAGCAGATCCTGAAGACTAACAGTGATTACTGCCAAAGCAGTTTATACTCTCCTTTGCTGCTCCTTGGGCAATTTCAGCAATCTGTCATTTGCTTTGAAAACAGTTCACTCCTTTCATTTATGCGTGGATGGCTGAACATTCATTTTGCCAGTCAGGTTCAATCTTTGAGATTCTTTTCTCTGAGGATGGGTCCTGGAGGACTGCGCTGCTTTGTTCTCTTCTGATCAGCTTGAACAACCAGAGAGCCAGGTGCAAGACGAAAACAAAAATATCCAAATCCATTTACAAGTCTTCAATAATTTCTGTCTGCTTCCTTGGAGATGGCTGTTGCAATAGTGGGTTGCTGCCAGACTGCTTTGGCAGGCTCCAGCAAGCCATCGTCTTCTGGCATGGCTAATATCCCTTGTGTTCTTGAGCATGGCATGTCCAAGAACTGATGTTGTTTCTTTTGGACGATCTGGATGGGAGTTTTTTTAGGCTGCTGCCATGTGGTGATTAAGTTCTGGAAAACTTTCAATTCATTAACTGAAGTTGATGTAGATAATGCATTAACTTATCAGGGTAAGAGAAGGGTACTGCAGCTGGGTTCAGAGAAGCTCCTTTAAAAGAATTGAGTACCTCTCAGCCTTCTTCCTCTTATCATTTAGTATGTGAGTCTAAAGCAGCTCATTATGTGATGAGCCTAAATGCATTAGGTGAAGAACCCATGTTCAGGATATATGACTGTAGCTGGGTTTCATTAAATAGTATGCAACAGTTGTTTGGACTACTGCCGATAAAGTACACACACCATACACCAGAAATGGGGAGGACATTAGACATCATGGGATGTCATATTATCAGCAAGATCACCGACCCCCTTCAAATTCCCTTCAGGGAGCCTATTTCCTGAAATATTCCTCTGACTAACACTGAGCTCCCAAGGAAGAGGGGAAGGATAAACAGGAGATGGTTTTCTTCTGCACACAGCAGAAGCATAGAATGTAAAGCATGGACCATGGCAAATCTGGGAACCGGAGCAGGCAATGCTAACCAGTGCAGGTTTTGCAGCACAGCTTTTTTTTAAACAGCTTGAGCCAGTCTAGGAGAGGTCATCCTTATACTGATTCCAGCAGAGACTGCACAGCCACACATGTTGTTTCAGGCTGATACTGGATACCAAATCTATAGGTAGTCAGCAGTCAGATTGTTGGCTGCTAGCATGAAGGAGGTACTTCTTCTGGAGGCGCTGAGTGCTCACTGTAAAGGAGGGAGTATTGTTGGCAATACAGTCTTGGCTGCTGGGGTAAATCACAGTAATTCCTCTTTATCCTTGGTTCTATGGAGCACATACATGAGCAGAGACTTGCACCCTCAAGTCTGATGCTGAGATAACTGCAAATGGATGAGAAGCCTCTGATATTAAGCTTTGTGTCAACATGAAATACAGTCATCATTTACCCTGTCCTGAAAGACACTGAGTGAGGCTTCTCTCAAATTCAGTCACGGTCTCAGAGGCATATATCAAACTCTCCATCAGGAAGGTTTTTTCCTTCTTTCCTTTCTGACCATGTCTGGAAACAAATGACAAACAAATCTTCCTAGGAAGTATCCTTTATGGGGAAATGTGCCTGTTTCCTTGACAGAAAGAGCCACTTGGCTGGATACAGTGGTGTTGCCTGAAAAAAGGTTTTACTTCCGGTGACTGAACTTCTGTCTTCATCATAGTATTTCCAGGGATGGTACAAAAAATGACACCCCCCCCCCCACTTTAAACCCCTTTTGTATAAATAAAAACTTTAAATAGCTACTCTAACATAAAACATAAACTGATCAATGAATAGGAGGTAAGGCAACAAATTCCACTTTTTATTTTTTGGGTGGCTGGAAGTGTAGATCCCTAAAGCCAAAGAGAAATAGATACAAATAAGGCACAGTCACCAAGAGTGGAATTTTGAGGCAGAAATTCAATATGGTCCAGCCCAGTTGAGAATTCAAAGAAATAAACCTGAAAAACTGGTAAATACTATTCATAGAGTACCAAAAAACCTTATTAACTAGAGTGAATTCAGTGAAATTGTTCAAGAGGACATACAAATAAAAATAAACACTCTTGATGGTGCAGGCAATAAGGAACTATTCAAATGGCCAGATTAAAACATCAAGAGCAAAAACTGTACAGAAAACAATGAACATTCTTCACTTAAAACATGATATAGATGTTATGTAACACAGTCTTGAACCACTTACAATCTCCATTTTGCAACTGAGTCCTTCTTTTCTCTTCAGATTTCATTTTGGCCTTTATGTACCACTGGCATCTTTTAAGAAAAACAAGTGGAGTTTTAATTAAAATTATTGTCATGCATAAAATAAAGGTACTTTAAGTTTAATCCGCACTTTTATGAAAGCCAAAATATTTGCATTTGGAATATATACTTAGTTATGAATCTAAAGAGAGAAATATGCATAAAGAAGTACAAACAGATTAGATACAAATAAAAATAAATCATGGTTGAATGATGAGTATGAAAATGACTACTTAAGTTCAAGACTGATGCAATAATTTATTTCCAAGTTTGACTCCTCCAAAGAATACTGATACTGTAATAATTTACTACTTCCCTGCATTCTTGTTTGCACACATTGGTTTGTGCTAATTAAACCTTATCCTATCAGCTTTTCATATCCAGTGGGTCAAAAAAGCTTACATTTTCTTCCTAATAGTTTCTGTGACTTCACCATGTTTCATGAAAAAGAAAGCATGTTTTCACATCAGGACCACTTTTTTTTTTTTTTACCTGAGTGGCTCTGTGCAGCCTGAGCCAGGCACTGACTTCTTGTTTCTTTTAAGATAGCAGCTATCATATGGGATAAAAAACATGTAGCCTGCTATGTGAATATGATGATTTAGCATATGCCTGTATGATTGCTATAAAATTGCAAATCCTTGGCAAAGAACACCAAACTCTGCAGATGTTCATGAATTGTTAGCAACCTTACCTGTCAGTGCAAGGGTATGTTGAAGAAAACTCGCACATGCCAAACTTTCAGGTTCCCTGTAATGAAATCTCCCCCAGCCTCAATGCTCCCTACACTGATTTGGAGAGTCACATGATAGGAGCAACTCTTTCAGTCAAGAAAAACCAAAATATTTGCTTTTGGTCTTAAAGCTCTTTCTCACTCACTGAACAGCCTAAGAAGTATGATTTAGAGGGGAATCTTTTGGTCTAAGGGCTAGGCTAAGAGCTAAGGGCTGTTGGGACGCCGACCCCAGTGGAGAACAGCAGTGTGTGTGGACATGTGCTTTGCTGTACAGACATTCAGTTCCAAGACCTGCTTGAAAAAAAGGACTTTCCTCTGTGTGTTCATTACCAGCCTTATAAAAGAAAATAAACTATAATTATAGATAGTATATCCAATAAAATACTAGCAATGGAGATATGAGAAATATGTGAACACACCCACCTCATTTCAACGGTTCATTTAAACTACTGAAACAGAGTACAATCACTCACAAATTCATTCTTTGCTACAGAGGTGATGATGAACACCTGAAGGGCAGAAACTTCTGAAGCTGTCATAATTGGTTGTGACTTGTAAGGCACTTGTTTTCATGGTTATGTACCCTTACGGAGGGAAACAGCAACCAGTGGATTCTCAGCTTCCTTGGAAAACTTTAGATTGTACACCAGTTGATGGGACCACTAAGCATGCCAGTGCCATTTCTGGACCTGAACAACTGATCTGTAGGGTGCCAACTGCCAAGAACACTGAACACAAGCTCTTACACTTAAAGTGTCTGTCCAAGGGAACAGCCAAAGAAATAAGGCTTTAGCTGTGTCCAGTCCTCCTAAGCATTCATGTGGCCCCAAAGCTTGACTGCAGAAGCCAGTGAGTAATCACCAGCAGAGGAGTCTTCCAGCTCCAGCTCCCCATTGCCTTAGCGTTGCCTACAGAACAATTGGAGAGGAATAATTTCTGTAATGATAAGAATAAATCACACTGAACTTTAACACTGCATTTCCTGAAATATAGCCAAGACCCCAGTCTCACTGCAGATCCTGCACCTCGAAGTCACTGTCATTTTCATTTTTCTATCTGCAATTGACAGGCGCGCTTCCTGCTTGCTCTCAGTGGATAATCACTCAGTGAAGTGCGGAGGCAGGTGCTCATCTAACCCAGCCTCTCCACTATGAATAGACTCATCAGCAGCCCTGTGACTCGACAGCTCATCAAATTGCTAATTCTCAATAGTGAAGCAGAGCGCATCTGTAGGGTACCAATCCCATTTTTCATGCAGAATTTTGCCTCCAGTCCTAGAGTAAATTGAGTATTTATTCAAAATTTTCTTGCTCTGTCTTCTGTGGAATACACTTCTATCACTGCATTTAAGGAACACTTCAAAATGAATTCATATCTTACATAATTGAAACGGTCCCACTGAGGAAGATCTTAGAAAGTTAAGAATCTCTGATATCCTTTAGCAAACAGGAGGAACAAACCCAGAAAGAAACACATTTCTGTATTTTTTTCATTCCTGAGCTTAGTGAGTTCTTTCTAAAGGAAGTGTTTGAGTTATGTTTCAGGATTCCATGTAAAGATTCCACACAATCACCTCCTCTGAAAGCCTGTCTTTGAATAACTCCTCTCTCTTCTGAAAGAGCGTACTGTTTGTCACCATTTGTAGTAATCATAGGAATATTTACTTAGCCTTTAAGATCATCTAAGATCACAATATATTCCAGTCTTAACTGCTTCTATTAACTTCAACAGAATGCTAGACTTAACTGGGTTCATTATTAATTCACACAATGTTGGCTAATGTAGTGATATATTTGGTTGCTGGGGTACTGCAAATCAAACCTCTGGTCTACACCAATAGGACTTCACTTTCTTTTCAAATTAGAGGTAATGCTATACCAACAAAACAGAAACTCTATTACAAATCTGAAAGTGCAGCACCGCCTACTGAAATCAGCCCCATCTGTGAACACCATTATCACATTCAGAGGAATCAGTGTAATATCTTTTCCCTAAGTCTAAACACAGGCTCTAAACCAGAACAGGAATAGTGCAGAATCGTATCCCAAAGCTGCATTTTTTTCTGTCCCTAAGCCAGGTAAGAAAGAAACTGCACGGAGAATCCTCCTCACGTGGAGGCTCCTCCACAGGCTGTTTCATGTGTCTGAAGGAGGAAGAGGGGAAAAGGGTAGAGAGGGGCCAGAGCCCACATAAACCCCCCATGGAGCTTACTGCAGAAGCTATGAGCCTGACTCCTCTGCTCAAAGGCCTAGACCTCTACAGAATATCAGTCTGGTTTTAGGCTTTCTTGAGCCATGGCATTACTGCAGTGCCACTGACATCTCACAGAGGAGATGTCTTTGTCCTTTATAATTCTGCTTTGCTTCCTGGTGGAAGCAGGTAAAGTCCTTAAATCCCATGGGAATCACCTGGAGGCTCAGTGAAAAATTAAACAGGGCACCATGGAAGCAGCTGCCCCTGTGGGAATCTGAGGTCCAGCAAGGACTGATGCTCTGACCTCTATGTGTGGTTTTTAGCATGTCCAATTAGAATTTGTGACTTCACTTAAAACCTTGAGTGTGTAATTGAGCCTGGCACCTGGCCACTCAAATCAAAATGCTTTCTCATCCAATTTGCGTAATGTCATTATGTGATCCGGATCAACACATCAACTGAAGGAAGGGGGACAATCAGCACTGTACTAAAAGAACTGTAAGTATAAGAGTCAAGGGAGTTATAAAAAATAATTATTGTCCAGACTGATGAATTGCCCTGCCAGAGCAACAGTGCTGTTGTAGTGTTGATTTAACTGGGATATCTTCAATCCAATTAAAAAAAAAAAAAAAGCCCAAAAGCAATAAAACAGGACCTTCAGGAAGCTATTTTCTGTTCACCAGTGGTATCACCAGTAGAATCATTTTAGTATTTTGGAGTGAAGTTTTCTTTAGTTTAATTTCATTACATAATTCCTGTATTTCCTCTTAATAGATGCAGAAATGTGCATACAAAATATATACATAATTATATATGATTTTTCCTATAAATTTAATACACCAAAAGTAATACAGAATTGTCCACTCAAGTGCCTTTCGCAAGCTACACTGCCAACCCTAAGACATCAAAAATCCTAAGGTTACACCTTCCAAACTTTGCAGTTGACAGTTAGAGATTTTGTAAAAAATACAGGTTTTTTGCTTTTCATTTTTCTGTCTTCTAATGTCAGAGCCTTGAGGGTGCAGGTACATTGTATTTTTAAATTCTTGCTCCTCAAGTAAGAGGTCCAGAAACTTATTTTAAAAACAGCCAAGCTATTTCCTGATTTCATATAATTTCTTAGCTCCCCAAATTGGATTTTTATGAAAAACAACACTCACAATCGAACTGTGAGTATGAGCAGTGCTGAACAAAGAGGACATTCACCCTGCTATGTCTAACCCTTATTTTAGCTCTGAAAATGTGGTTTAATGGCTTAACTATTATTCTTAATTTCTTAGTTTTGGATGAGTCTGACCCTGAGTAAATAAGAACATTGTAGTGTTAATTACCTCCCGGTGATCAGGAAGAACAGAGTGAGGATGACCAGGAGAGTGAATCCTCCAACAGCAGCAGTGGCAATTACAAGAACCTGTCCCTGCTCTGCAGCCATTTCAGAAGCTGAAACAGAAGCAGAAAGAAAAGAGGTTACAGCTCCATCACCCAGGATTCTTGTGCAATGGGTGATAATGTTCCACTGGTCAAACGTTGCAATTATTCTGTACTAGTTTCCTTGATGCTTAGCAAGGACATCAGATGTGAATGTGCTGATGAAGTGAAAAACCATAATCCATGTCCCAGCTATGATGAAGGGGAGAAGATGTGTACAGGTTTTTAAAATGAGGAGCTGGCATTATCAGACACTTGAAATTTACTAAAATTTGAATGTGACAGGATTTTGGACACAAAACTAGAATGTATTTCTTCTTTAGCTTTATTTAGCTTAAGCCTGCATCTAATTCAGAACTTCTATCCATCCAACTGTCCCAGCGAGGTCAGCAGCAGTGCCATGTATGGAAGAGATATTAAACTGGCTTCAGAAGAAAGCAAAGCAGTAAAAGCACACTTAATGTGTAGCCTCACACACTCCTCTGTATGTCTGGTGTTTAGTTTTTTTGTCACAAAATGTGTACAGTTCTACCTATAACGTGCTCTGGTGATTGGCAACACTGTAGTTGAAACAAAAAATACTGATTTTCTTATGCCTCATGTTTTTCTCTCTGCTTTGTGTAGGATATTTAGGACATAAAAAAGAGCACCTGAAATTATCCAGTCTTTAGACAGTTGCTTTTTTAATTAATTTATTCTGAATAATATTAAATCTTTACTTTGACAAAGTATCTACTTACAGTTTGGTTGGTCCTCACTTGTTCAAGTACTACATGAGCAGAAAGAGAATTAGGCTCAGTTTTTCTCTATCTCCTGTCTTGTGACTCCAAAGTTTTATTTCTTAAACTCAGTAACACTTGAACTTTTTCACCACATGATGTTTACCTAATGCTTACTGTCTGTTTCCATGAGAAACATAACATTATACTGAAAGGAGAATAAATAATTCTATTCAGTGACCTCTGACAACAGTAGTAAATGTAGAAAATAAATTTTAGATTTATCAGGAAAGCAACTTTGATTTTGTAAACTTGCAGACTGTTTTATAAGCAAAATCCTCAGCTTTCTTCAGGCATCAGATGACTAAAGCGTAGCGAAATCACCTAGGCTGCTGCAAAAAGAAAGCTCAGCAGGCTATATAGTCTCTTATTTTGCAGTTGACGAAGCCTGACACAACGCACACATTGCTGCCCTAAGCCCCATACAATGCTGTTTCCAAGAAAAAACATTTGGCTTCTAAATAATATTTGTGAGTGGTTAGAAATTAGCAGTGTAACATCACTTTGTAATAGTAGTAAAGCAAATAAAAACTATAGTAGTTTATGTCAAATTTTCAGCAAAACCAACCTGTAAAATTTCTGCCTTCAGGTTTCTGTCCATACAATTTAGTGGAGATATGCACAGGCAGTAAATTACAGGCATTCAGTATCTGTGGTCATAAGCTCTCCACAGACAAGTTAAATACATACATCTTCCAATAAATGATGTAGCAAATACTCACTGAATAGCTAATTTCCAACATGATATCTAGTGATATTATGGGAGTGGATTCTAGCTCTGCATTGTGTTATGTTCCACGGGGTCAGATTTAGTTGGAAAAATACAACGTAACAAATATCATGCCATGCAAATAATAACAGGCTCTCCAAATCAAATGCTGAATACTATTTTCAGACTAGCGGAGGTTGTGCTAAATGTTGCAAAGATTGTTACAGCTAGGCACACTTTGAAGTTGTAAATGGAGGAGGTGGTTTTAGGTGAGACTATCTTGCCCATCTCTGCAATGGAAGTGAGAGGACAAACTGCAGCCTTCTTTTTTTTCTCTTTTTAATA